CTATTTTTCATATCTGTATATAAAGCATGTTCATGCCAAATTATGCCATCATACATGAGCTCTCTCTCTCTCTCTCTCTCTCTCTCTCTCTCTCTTTCTCTTTTTTTTTTTCCTTACTACTTTTACATTTTTCGTCATCTTTATTTGCGTGCTCTCTGGCCTCCTGGTGTTGAACATCTAGCTCATAGTAGGGACTCTATAAAAGCTCCTGCACCCATGAATGAGCAACCTCAGTTGCTAGAGTAGTAAGTTGACCCCTTTCTGTTCTTCAGGACAGAGGTTACAAAGCCTTTTTTATTTGTTACACTTTCACAAAGCTCCACTCATCTGGTCTTTGCCCTGCTGACAGGTGCTGCTGTCCTATTCTTTGCCTCCTGCGAGTTGTGCTTTTCCCTCTACCTTTCATGTCTACCTTTATTAAGCTCCTGGGAAGCTCACCCTGTCAGACAATACTGATTCCTTCAAATTTGCTTTCATTTTTGTTTTTCACATTAGTGTTTCCCCCAACTCTAGAATTGAGGTTCTCACAGGTTCTCATGGCCTTGAGACCTATTTCCCTGTAGTGTGTCCCTAGGACACACAGACTCCCATCTATATTTCCTTGGAGCTTTCTGAAGTCTGCAAACAGAGAGTATTCATTTCCCTCTTGTGGCTACTGCAGACCATGAGAAATAGGGATGTGGTCACAGCCATTACCCTTGGTGGAAACTGTACTCCCTCTGATATTTCAATTTCAACAACTCATTTTCAGATTTCATCTTCCCTCCCAACTCTCCTCTTTATTTATACAATCTTCAACTTCATCAAGATCTCCAGTTCATGGACCCTAACCATTCTCGTTCCTGAACAGAAAGGGAAGGCTTCACTTCTCTCCTTCCCCATGTCACTGGCAGACCAGCCAAGGGAACCTGTCTGGATCCTGCCGCTGGCTGGTTCTGCTGCCACCCACCTGCATGAGAAATTGGCAAACAATGGAAAAGGGAAAGATGAATTTCACGCGGTTTGATTGAACTGGGGAGAAGCAGCTAGATGGCTTCTCCATGCTCCCAAAGACACAGTTAAAATTTATAGAAGCGAAAACCAGGTGATATCCATGTAGATTTAGCAAGCCAGAGAATATGTCAGTCTTTATTTCCTTGGTGTCTGTCCTCAGCAGGAGGAAGCATGGAATGCAGAAAAACAGTTATCAGGAAGTTGCTTTTAACTTCAGAGGGGGTCTGGTTTACCCAGACAGGATTCCATAGCTATGCTGTAGCCAAAGCTCCCAGTTCACTTTATCTAATTCACCTTGTTTTTCTTGGCAAAACCCCAACCTTGTACCTCCCTGTATCAAATAGCTAAACTTCATTGGGTGGGGGCGAGGTGTGGGGGGGAAATCAAACATGCATCCAGAATTTTGTCTCATTTTAAATTCGAGATCATAAAGCTCAAATGGGCACTCAAACCTGCCTGACAACCCTTCTATATTACCTAGTAAGTTCATATTTCCACCCCACAAGTGACAAAGTCTTTCTTGCACCAAACTCTAGACAGCCTCCTCTGAACTTTTTTAAAAACTAGGCTCAGCCCTGGCTCTGTCCCTGACCTACTTAGCCCCATTTTAGCAATAATGATGCTGAATGAATTTAGTAAAAAGCCCTCACCCGTGCTATTTGATCACCCTGAGTATCTAATCAAAGGCTTCATGCTTACCTTTAATATTGCATCTTATCACCCTGACCTGTCTTCAGCAAGAATCCTGTCAAGTCAGTTTAGTCTGAATCTCCTTTATCCTGTTTCCTCTGAAGAATTTTCTATCCATTGACCCCAACTTGTTCCCTGGCTATAAATCTCCACTTGTCCTGGTTGTCATTAGAGTTGAACTGATCTCTTTCCCCCACCCTCGTTGCAGCATCTCCTTGGGGTAAAGGCTTCCTTTCTGTCTACCGTGGGTTACTTTTCTTCCATGCAAGATGACTTATGCTTTAGTCAGGTTTGCATCACTGTGACCAAAATGCCTGACCTGAACAACTGGAGGAAGGGAAGTTCATTGGGGGCTCATAGTTTCAGATACTTCATCCTACAGATGGCAGAGTCCAATGCTCTGGGGCCAACATGAGGCAGGGCATCATGGCCAAAGAGCAGGGTGGAAGAAAGTAGCTAACCTCAGGGTAACCAGGGAGAAGAGAGAGGGATAGAGGACGAAGGGGACCAAGGGAAAGAGGAATCCTTCCAGGACATGCTCCCAATGTCCCATCTCCTCCAGCTGTGGCTCACCTGCCTACAGTTACCACCCAGCTTCTCTATGCAAACGAGGGTGGACTGATTAGGTTTCAGCTCTCATGCTCTAATCCCCCACCTCTGACCATTCCTACAAGAACACAGGAGCTCTTGGGGACACCCCACATCCAATACATAATGGCATATTTTCCTGCGTTCTGTCTTCACTTCTGTCTGCTCTTGTCTCCCTCTTGCTCTTAGCTGCTCACCTTGGCTGAAACTTCATTTAGGAAACAGAAGCTCTTGGTCAGTCTAGAACTCATTCCCTATTTCTTTACCCACTCTGCACACCTACCTGCTTTTCCACCCATCTCCTCTTCCCTCCTTTCTCCCCACAAGGGGAACCTGGCAAAGACCCCTCTTTCTACCTGTGTTCAGAGCCCCATCTCTTCTAGCCCTGTCAAGAGCTTCATTCTCTTTTTTCTCTTCAACACTTTTTCATGGATAAATTAATCCCATTGCTGTTAATGTGCTTCAGAATCTTTTTTCTATATTAAAAAAAAAAAAAAGCAATGAAAGGAAACCTCCCTTGAGCCCAGCTCCACCCCCACAGCTACTGGACCATCTGCTTCCTTTCATGATCAAACTTTGCAAAGATTCATGAGATGTCGACTTTCCTACTTTCCAGTTTCCTTGCTAACTTGTTCTTCTCTAGCTTCTTCCTCCAGCATCCCAGGAGGCCACCTGTGAGCTCTCCAGACCTTAATCTAGAAGATTCTTTACTATTCTTGTCTTCCTTGACCTCTCAGCGATTTTCTGCACCAAGGGACATTCCCTCCTTTCGGAAAGAGCTTTTCCTGAGCTTCTGAGGCCCCACAGTCTTGGTTTTATTTTATTTTACTTCCCTACCTCTTTGGCTGTTTCCTTTTATCATACTTTTAAATGTAGACATTTCTTAGATCTCCAGCTTAGAACTCATTTTCTACTTTTTGTGCCAGTTTTGGCCAGCTGAATTTTCTTTGAAAAAAAGAAGAAAAAGTCTTTAAATTCTGCCTAGATGCTGACCCCTGGCGAATTTACATCTCCAAACCCAGACCCTATCTCTGAGACAGCCACAGAAGTTCAAAATTTAATATTTCTAGAAATGAAATTCTGGTTTTCCCCACGCTGTCTAGTATTTCCCCTCCTCTGTGTTCTCCATTCCACAGCACCCCCCCACACACACAAAACCCTATTCTGAACAAACTGGGAATCATTGGCTCATTCCTTTGCCTGGCCATCCACAGCCTATCCATCTCCCCATGTTGACATTTCTCCCTCCACTGTCCACGCAAATCCATCTTCATTGTCTCCTCTTGACAACATTTCTCTAATCAATCCAACCTATCAGCATCTCTTCGCTGGCCCCTACAGTAATCTCCTAATGTATTTCCTTGTTTCCACTGTTTTCTTGTTCTACTCTGTTTTACACCAGGCATGCAGAATGATCTTGAAAAAAACAAATTGGATCATGTCACTCTTCTGCTCAAAACCCTTCCCTGTTACCCCATATGGTTGGAACTAAATTGACCTGCAACCAGTTTAGGCCTTCTGTTACCATCACCTGGGCTCTTACCTTGCTGTATCCACGCTGGCCTCCCTTCACTTCTTTAAGCCTAGAACAATCTTGCTGTGTCTGGAACACTCCACCCCCACAGCCTGTCTCAAAGACATTGCCATTTTTCTTAATAAAATCATGTATTTTATTTGTTTGCTGCTTGTTTCTTTTTCCCCTCAACCTCATTCCCAGATAGAATGTTCATGAATGCAAGAAAAATGTCTCTAATCCACAAATACAGAAGCAACTGGTATCTACCACAGTGTCCAGCATGCAATGTGTTTGAGAAGAATTTGTTCAGTTTCTGACTCCATATGGACTCTGGTGCTTCTTGGCCTCCTGTTTTAGACTCTGAAGTTCAGAAGTGTGATTCTGTAGATTGAGTCAGATCTCCATGTTAATTATGTCTTGCTGTTTTAGATATATATATATTTAATTATACATATATATATATATATATATAACCATACCATTGACCAAGTTATTAAAAAAAATCCCTACATCTTGACCCTCAAGAACTTTACTGAAATAATGTCCTCCTGCCACATCTCCCTGTCCCACCATCTTTTGGAATTCTCATCATATATGCCAACCCATATCTTTTCTTTAAAAAATCTATTTATAGCTTATTTTCCCAGATAAAAATAGAATGAGAAGAAGAAAGAAAATCTTACCATGGTGCATAATTTGATTAACACTGAGTAAAAATTCAGAAATTAGCTACCTGATTTAGGTTACTTGTTTGGAAATTTTAAGAAAAGTATGATCTGAAATGAAATATAGTTTGTAATAATTGTATGGCAGAGCTCATAGATCCCTGTATCTTTATAGAAATTGCAAGATTTTAATCTGACATATATGAGAATATATTGTATCTTTACAGCTTTCATAGATATGTTCCTTTTTACTAAAGTGGTAATTATTTTTATATTTATTGTCATATCAATTGCTTAGCAGGTAGAAATAAAACATGAACTGTAGATACAATTGCCAGTGATTTCCCTTTTCTCATGGTCTCAAAAAAAGCATATTTCAAGCTGAAAGTTTATTTGTCATACATCTGCAGTGTCGTGACAAGAATTCAATATATTTAATAAGTAGTTAGAGAATAGAGATTTCTCTTAGGATTATAGCAACCTGTGACTAGGATTATTCAGGTACAATACTATGAGAGTTGAAAGAAAAGTCAGTATAACACTTAAAATTCATTTAAAGACTCCATTTTAATAGAGAAAAGAACTATATAAAGCAAGGTAGAACTATATTAAGAATACAGTCCTCACTTTATTAAGTGTTAGAGAGAATGTGTGAATTTCTTCTACAGGTTTTTGCTGTTTTCCTGTGGGTAGTCTGAATTAACTTGAAAATCCAGATAAGGGGTTTTTTTTTATTAGAAAAAAAATAAAGTTGAGTAAAATGAGATATTAAAGAGAAGAATAAGTACTGGAATAAACATTGGAGCTGAAACTAAAGTAACTGAAGTGAAAATGTTTTCATAATGAACTTTTATGTTTAACAAGCCCAGACACTTCGAACAGTGTAAGCTATATTAAAGCCTTTTATGAAAGGATTATGTTTTGTATGATGAGTGTTTTAATATAAGTATGGTACACCACGTAAAATATAACTACATTTAACTCAAAGTAATTATGAGAATTCAGGCAAAATTATTTTTCTCCTGTACTATCACATTGATTCAGGATTTTTTTTTTTTTTCTTTCTGGAACCTTTCACCAACGTGTCTCTGTTTCAATTATTTTTGGCAGTATATATTGCGTCTCTCTGCCTCAGCTACCTTTTATATCGACAGTTGGTAGCACAAGCCTTTTAACGCACAAAGGGTAGCAGCACTTCAGCCAATCTGTGATAAAAGGGAAAAAATGAAATCACTATGGAAACTGCAGGAAGGATCTAAAAGCTCTCTTTATAAAGTAAACGTCTGATGTTTGTGACTACAGGGGTAAAAAATTCATAAATCTCTGTGATGCTATCATTTCTGATTTGTTATCACTGCAAATGCCAACTCGATGCAGCCTGACCTCAGCTTCATTAAGTGCTGTGTGCTCAGCAGCGGTTACTATTCAACAGGAGGAAGACCCACCCTGGTCTGCAGGGAGGTCTGGGAGTTTAGGTGATGCTGTGGGACTGAGAGAAGAAACTAACTTGCTCAGAATGTTTTCTTTCTTTTCTCATTTGCTTGTCTTTCCCTTTTGATTCACAGTGACTTGATGGAGTCAAGCACACAGTTGTTCTGCTCTGTGTTTTCTTTTGGTTTGTTCTTCATTGGAAAATACAGCAAGTCTCAGATCCAAATTCAACGTAGAAACTGCAGTTCGTCCCATGACATGTCTATCTTTGATCTTGCATTGAAAAAAAAAAAAAAACCGCTCACTCTCTCTTTTCAGTCATAAAGCAAGTCAATACCCAGGAGAACCTGTTCCCACTTCACCACCTTGGATCCTGGGAAGGAAAATAACAAAGGAGATTGTGACTGCTCAGCTCTGGAGAATCTCATCTGACACCAGACAGCAACAGGCACCTGTGTGAAGAAGGCGTTTCAGAATGTCAGTTCTCAGAAGTTAAGTGACTTTTATAATACTGTTATTTAAATAGGACTCTTTTTATTTAATAACAGTTCACCAGGGAAAGGGAGACTAGGGGATAAAGAGGACCCTGAAAAGTTCTTAAATGTGAAATGCTTCAACTTCAAGAATCAATTCTAGAGAAAGGTGAATAATTAAGTAAGTAGACCCATTTCAACATAGCTTGTGCTACTCTGCTTTCTCCAATGTTTACAATCAAATATTATTTCATTAGTTAGATTTTCAGGCAATAGAAACTGGCCTTTTTTTTTTAAGAAAGAAAGTTGGTGGCAACTTTACTATTGTTGTAATGCATTGAAATGTCAAAAACTGATGTGCATGGTAATTGATTTCATATTGTCATGCTGAATTCGGACAATTATAAACATTGCAAATCTAATGTTTCAAGGTACTTATGAACAATTAGCAGTTCTGTACTGGCATCTCAATCATATCACTGATGACAATAATGTATTAAGTTCTAAATCCTAAAGGGGATATTGTGTAAATGATGCTTAAGAAAAAAAAATCAGAAAATGAAACCAAAGTAATTAAAAACACAAGAACTGAGCATGAGTTGTCAAGGGGCACTTGCTGTTGTGCAAGGAACTTGCTTGAAAGAGAAGAATATAACATCTACAGTACTGGGTTTATTGAACTTCTTCTACTAATGATGAACTCAGCTGCTTGCATAGGCTTTACAGTTTCCACAGTGCTTTCTCTTACATTAAAGAACGTTAATGATCAGTTCCACGGCATCAAATGCAAGTGTGTGTTTGGGCACCCAAACATAAATACAGGCATACTTTTATTTGAAAATATTTAAATGCCTCATACATACTGACTTCACTGATGCTTCTTGTGCATATAATGAAAGCCAATTATCTGTGGAGAAAACTTGACTGGGTGGAAGAAAATTAAATTGGTTTTTAAAGAGTTCCTTAAACAGCAGTAGCTAGGGAAAGGGCCAATAGCAATTTAGTGCAAGATTGTAATGGCTTTGCCAAATTAATAAATCATGCTTTATCCTGACTTTTACCAAAACTTTTGGGTGGGGAAGACCTCACATGACCAATAGATGGGAGAGGAGCACTTTCCCTGCAGCTTTGCAGGTAGCAGAACATTCTGCCCATCGCTGCAAAGCTCTGGGAACAACTGGTGGAGAAACCAGGTAGGTCCTGTTTCACTCAAAGAATAGGATGCAGAATAATACATGTCAATGCAGAAAACATTTTAGAATTGCAGTTCTTGGAGGAAATATTAATGTTCTAGAATATTCCATGATTTATTTGTAAAAAGGCTATACAAGGTAAGGTAAACGTAGTAAAATCTTTACCAATGTTTTCTGCCTAATCCCCTTCTGGGAGTTTCCTCACTTCTGTGAAATGCCTTTGTGTGGAATATCAACTCTCATCAATCAGCTACATGTTTCTTTTTTTCTTTCTTTTTTTTTTTTTCATTGTGCCTTAAGTCTGAAACTATTTATAAGAGCATTTATAGAAACTTGGGAAAAACATGTTGTTTCATTTACACATACAACAGTGCAAATACTTTCTCTTTGTTACCATTCAAATATTAACTTTCTGTTCTCTGTATATTCTCAGAATTGATTTCCAGCAGCTATTGTAGAATAAAAAAGGTAAAAGTCTCCACCATTACTTCAAAATATCTTATTGCTTACTAATTGATGAGTAAAATATTTCATTGAGCTTTTCTAAAACCGAATTGTTATCTAATTTAAATTAAATGTCAGGAATTTGAACTTGATAGACTATAAAATATATATGATTATGTTGTAGAGAAGATTATTAGGGAAAATGTGTGTTTTTCCTCTATTAGAAATACTGCAGGAGTTGGATGGTGTGAAGTACCTCCTAATACTTCCCATTAAATCATCCATGACTTTTCAAAACAGCACTTTCAGAAATCGTACTTTCACTTAGTTATGAATTAAATGGAAAACTAACTAATATTTACTGTCTGTTCTCTGAACCTTAACTATTGGAAAGCCTTAGTTTATATTTCATAATGTGTTTTGTAATCAGCCGAATTGTATGATCAGATTTGTTTAAGATTTTAATTTTGAATGTTATCAAATACTGTCCTCTGGCACCCTGCAGAAGTTTTAGCTTTTCCGTCTCTCTCTCAAGAAGGTGAGGTTCTGTGGAGCAGAAGTCACCAGGACATCTCTATGGTATTTAATATTCACATGGACTAAAGAGGGTCTCAGAAGGTGTTCATAGTTTTGCATCCTTTTCTGTTAGAAATATTTTGTAATTTTGCCATGAATTTCCAACTTGCCACCATCAAAAATCTTGATTCCTCACGAACTTTCACTCCAAACCAAAATATACTCTGTAATCTCAAATCGGTTAATGGAGATAAGATGAAGATTTTAATTATAATTTTAATATGTAATTGAAGCCATTTGTAGATTATGCACAGAGGTGATCTTCTATATATTTAATAATTGTGTCAAGAACTTAGATAATGTTTAATTTGGTGGAGAAACTATTTTTAACTTTGCTGGAGTTGGGTTACTTTCAATATTCCCAGAGCGTCTTTCAGAAGTTATACCAGTGTGAGGTTCCTTGTGTGAATGAATAACTAAGTGTGTCTCCAGCATGTCCTGGGGGCAAATCATAAGAACTGGAATATTCTGTAAGATAAAGAAGGGATTCTGGTTTCATTTCACATCTCTTCTGGGAAACCTAGCTTGAGGTTTCTCAGATCAAGCTATGTGGCCAAAAAGAGATTAAGACCCTTAGAGCAACGAGTCTGCCCCTTGCTACTGTGAATGAGTGGTACCCCTAACTCTCCTCTATATAGGTCTTAGAGACCCAGCACATTGGACAGGATATTTACTTTTTTCTTTAAAGAAATGGTGGACACTTCATGTTGGAGTTTTGCTTGACATGAATCATGGCAAATTGGGGACTGATGTATGAATTTTGAACTTATAGCTGTGTGGTATATACCTCAGGGGTGTTCTAGGGACAGAGACAGAGACTTCATGAAGGTCCCTATTATGGAAAAAAAAAAAAGATCTTTTTTTCCTACTCATGAAGCATACAAAAGTGTGTGCATTGCACAATACAGCTATCCATTTATACTCAGACACACACACACACACACACACACACGCACCTCCACACTCTCCATGGCTATCTGTTTTGATTTGCATGTGCACATGACTCTCATTAATGCTGATAACCCTCTGCAAATGCCTCCAGAAAATAATGGCCCCCTACTGTGAGATCTGTCTGCATTTAAACATGCTAAGAGCCGAATATTTAAAATCTGTTTGGCACACCAAACTTGGTTTTCTGAAGACAACAGAAGTGGAAAAGAAAGATCAAAAGAAAAAGAAAAAAAAAACCCACAAAAGATAATAACATCTGGATGGGGCCTGGGTAATGCTCTAATTAAATGTACTTACACCTAAGTCTTATCACATGCTCAGGAGTGAGAGCTTACAAGCCCCCTTTAAACTGCAGCCTTAAAGGCAGTCACGGGAACTATGCATGGAAGCTGGGAAGCTGTCACTTCTCCTGTGATCTGGCTCGGTTCAACGTGTGTTCCTATAATTTATCCTCCTTTCTTTCATTGCATGGGCCTCTGCTGTTTTACTGTTAAGATGGTCATAATAAATGAAGTTGTCCCTTGAACTTCACAAAAATATGCATATTCTTTAAAATGGGTGGGCTTTGGGGGGAAAAAACAGTTTATGCACAAAAAAGAAACAGACTGCAAAATTCTCTTGTTCCTGACTTATAGATTAAGATGAGTTTAGCAAAAATCCACCCATACTTTTTTCCTTGTTCAGGTAAAGTCATTTGACATCTTGAACATAATAACAACTCTCCCGGACTACAAACCACAAGGCAACCATTTCAGATGTCACTAAGTCAAGCAATTTTAACTTCTGAAAGAGTTTCTAAAGCCTATATTAATTGCTTAGTGTCCTAGTTAAATTAGCACGACTTGAAATGGTTTCGAAATGCTGGGATTTAGGACAACAGACAGTATGAAAGGAAGTTCCTGTATTTTCTCGGTTTTTTTTTTTTTAATGAAGTTTTGAAGCACCACAATGCGATCTCTTATTAGTTTGCTTTTAAAAATAAATAAAGCAAACCCTAGATACTTGGGGAAAGCTGTTCGGCAATGCACAGATATGTTCTACATGTCTCATTAGCATTTACAGCCATGCATGGCTAAGCCTCCCCCATTGCATGGAATATTTACCCTCTGGCTTTGTAAAGTGATGCCTGACTGTGGATCTTACGAAGGAATTCCATAACCATTTTCTACACTATACAGCACACCTACTATATTAGATTATACGCGGTATGTCTTGAGTGATGGTAAAAATTAATGAGGATGAGTGTTCATTCCAGGGGGGAGAAAAAAAAAACAAAGTGCTCATATATTAAGTGTCTGGGGTGAGGACAGGTTCACTTTTTGTCTTAACCCAATGACAAGCCACTTTTATTTTTGTTATGTTATTGTTAAATACTCAAATGCAAGGCACTTTGTCTCCTTCCACTCCTTAAAAGAAAATTATTCAATCAATACACAAAAATGAAAGTTAGAAACCCACTGGTCATTTATGAAGGTCTAGGAATTGAAAGAATGAGATGTATTCCTGGATCTCGGGATGCATCAGGGAGAAGATAGAATAAGTTATTTTTCTCTGAGCTTCCTTTATTTTGCATGATTTAAAATTGGTGTAGCATTGGAGATGGGAGTTGTTTGGGGGGGTATTTGAGAAAACAGTGAAGTCTAGGAAAAAAGTGGACCAAAAGGACTTCAGACCTAGGGGACACAGGTCCGCTGGGGTGACTTTTTATGCAGAATGTTTTCAATGTGCCACACCCCTATGCGAAAGGCTGGAACCTCTTTGGCTTAAGTATCCCCCTATCTGTTTTACAATATATGTATTTACACTCAGGGTGTTTTAAATAACCCCAATTACTCTCTTCCTTTTTAAATTGGCTATACTGTTCATCTTGGATGTCAAAGCTTTCTTTTACTTGTTAAGTGTTGCCCGTGCGATCTAATGCTTCATTTCTCCACCCCCCCCCACCAAAATAAGACACTTGCATCAAATTCAACATTTTAGTAGTAGTGGCAAAAATAGCCCCCCCTTTGAAAAGATAAAGGATTAGTTTCTGCAGTGAGTTCATCTGTATCATCCCCATTTATCTCTCATGGGTGATGAGAAGACCTTTGCATCTCACCAAAAAGCACTAGTAAAGAAGGAGTTAAAATGAAGGCAGGCTCACTGGCTTGCTGAGATCTGTCAGAGTCTGACTGGCTGGCTACATATCTGTCTCTGGAACAATAGGTACCTGTATTCTGCACGGACTGCTGGGCAGCACTGGCACTCTGGAGAAGGTCTGCCTCTGTCTGCGCTTTCCTGGTGAGAATCCCCAATGACAGTCCCACTTTTCAGTGGACGAGAAAAAAAAAATAATATATATATATATATATCTGTCTACTCTCTTGATGAAGGACAGAGCTTGATCATTTTGTTCAGGCTTGACTTGGCCGGAGGTTTTAGCTTCTTAGTCTCAAGTCAGCAGTCTCTCTGGCTCTCTTAGTCTCTTTCTCTTTCTCTCTTACACACACACACACACACACACACACACACACACTTCCTCCCTCTGTCTTATTCTCTTTCTCTCTCCCTTCCTCTCTCATTTCCCCCTCATAGGTTCTATGCAGGCAGATGAGTGTCACCGCTGTCACTGAGGCACAGAGCTATAAACATAGTGGAGCCAATTTCCACGATGGTGAGAGAGGGGGCACTGGAGGTGACAACAATGACAAGATCGTCCTTCTGACAAGTTTTAGGTAAGAAAATATTTATGCTTGATTCTAGCGTTTCTGCATCCCTGTGGCTGAGACATTGTGATAGAAAGCGAGTCTCGTAGGGAAATATTTTTGAGAGGGTATCATCGGGGCTGTCACTTGCCTTCAAACCTGTGTTCTCCGGCTTTGTGTTACTAGAATCCTCGGAGGTGAGGTGTGAGCGGGGCTGGTGGAAGGAAGGGTGAGCTGCTTTTTACGTCTGTGTGGTGACATTCACCATGCTGTTTAAATTTATATCTGGAAAAAATTCTGTTTGGTGATAGTTAGCAATGTTTTGTGCAACGTGGAACATATGGCTGGGCAGAAATTAAGTGATGCTCTTTCATTCTTAATTTGTAATTATTTTTACACTCAACCATACTGAGGTCAGTGAGTTTTAAAAATTAATGAGATTCCCCGTGGAGTTCAAATAGTAATATCTACGTGAGCTGCCAGAAAAAGATACGATTATGCTGGTGTGTATTTTTGCCATAGATTTAGCTGTCTTATTTTGAACACACTCCATTTGAAATCTATGAAATGTACAATAGTTTACGAGACTCGCTGTGATTTGGGAGATTGCTGCTTAATTATTATTTAATAGCCAGGAGACGTTGAGTGAAAATTAAAGTGTTAAGGATGGACACTGGGTGTGGAGGTATTACTAAAACTTCGTAGACATTGTTATAACAATAGAGAATACCTGGTTACTTTCGAGGAAATGACATACAATGAATGAGCTGTACGCTCCAAAAAAATCTGCAAATGTGTTTTCATTTTAAAGTACTATATAAAAACTCAGCAGATATTTAGGGTGAAAAATTGTTGGTGTGAACAAAGGAGCAAGTGTACACAGAGATGAGAATTCTTTGTCACAAAAATGAGTCCAGGGCTTGGATTTAGGAGGTCAAATGATTTTTATGTTCTCTGTGCTCCACAAAGAGAGTGTATTGGGATGAGTTCCAGGCATTTAAAAATGTACTGAAAACTTTCAATTCCCACAATTTAAAGGCATTGTTTATGTTCCTGATACCACACATTGTTCAAATGAGAGGGATGGGGGAAAGCAGTGTGAATATACAGTAATCGGGGCTAAAGATGTTTTTTATCCCTGTTCCCCCATTTACAAGACCCATTCGGGGCTTCCTGTGATATATTGTTATGTAAATACTGTGCAGCCAGGGAAAGCAGCACTATGGAGATTCAATTTACTTTGAAAGTTGTTCATTATAGCAGGGATGAATGTTATTTATTTGATGTGATTCAAAGGCTGGAAATGACTTTTTCATTGTGGCACCTTTTGTAATGGGTGCAGGGTGATCTAATCTTTTTAATTTTGGCTTTCACACCAGTGGAGATGAAAAGAGATCTGAACTCATTTATCGGTTGCTAGGTCCTTCTGGAGGCCCAAGTTCTGTTGGTGGTTGCTATGGCCAGTCTGACCTCAATCTCTGTGGTTTTGGGGACTTAAGCAGTCTTTTTTTTTTTTTTTTTTTTTTAATTGAGGAGCATGTACCTTGATTTATGTCCAAAATTGTGGCTGAATGTCTTTGTCTGGGAGTAATAAATGGTGCTCAGCAATTCATCAGTTCTTACAAGTAAACATGACTGTCGGACTAAAAATATGTTTTGTTCTGAGTTAATGGTATGGAACAAGGCATTCTCCACAAACAGCTGTCTTTTATTGCGGAGGGGCCACTGAAACTTGGAGCAAAGTGGAGGAAATTGGCATTCATTTAGTTGGCCATTAGCATTTCATTTGTGATTCCATGATGTGGCTTAGGTGGATAGAAGACCGAGGGTGAGCCTTCCATTTCCTCACCTTCTCCCTAGCAGGGGCTGCTTCAATGCCTGGATTTGGCTGGAGCAAGAAGTCAGGAAGAGTTTTTCTGCCAGGGTTGGCCTCTGTCTGCTTCGCCCAGTGCTGAGGCACAGACAGGCAGATGTGCTGTGTGTGGCTCAGCCACGGGCGGCTCTGTCGCTCTCAGCCGCAGGGCTGGCTCTATGAGGGAAAGTTGAGTCCTGGGGTTGGTGACTCCCAGGAATGCTCTGCATGTGTGCCACTTAATGGTCCCTGGACTTCCTTGCATTCTAGACCCTCCTTAGAAAGGAGATGCAGTGATTAAGAGGCGATGGAGTCCACAGCCGCATTCAGCAGATGAGCCCCTAATACATTTCCCGTCCCCTTAAATCTACTAATTGATGGGAGCTGCAGGGAACATACACGCTGCTAATAAGATGAAGATGACAGAATAGGTATCAGGGAGGCCATTTATTGCTTATAAGCACTATCAGCTTTCTTCCGAGAGAGATTGCGGCTTTGTAAGGCAGGTTTGTTTTTTTTTAAGTATTATGCTAATGGTTTTTTATTCTAAGTCGGCCAGCACTGAGTATCTTCAAGAAAATGGGATCCATAAGAAGTGACACCCTCCTCCAACAGAAAGGTAAAAAAATCAGCATATTTTTAAGGTGCCATTTTTAAACCATTTCATGTCCTTCTTGCCAGTCCTATTAGGAAACGGCTTTCTAAATATGACTATTTTACATTATTTTTAATATAGAAGACTCAAAGAGAATAACTTTGAGAATTTTATTGTTAGACACTGTGCTACAGATTGGCTAGCTTTTGTTAACAAAATACAATCAGGTGCTTCGTCTGTTGCTTTTCAGCTTTGGAAATAAGTGGCTTTTTATTTCTTTAGAGAAAATGATCCTTTGGGGATCGATAGAAATGGTCTTTATTTTATGTAGATTTTATCCCTAGAACCAGTAAATTACAATCTAGGATTAGGTGATGTCAAAGGTCTCTTCTGGCTTGAAAATTCTTCAGAGTACTGGTTTTCTGAAAGAACGCATAAGGTTGCCTTTATTTATTGTAATTGCACCTGTATAATGTGTGTTTAGGTCTTCAGTACAACATCAGTCAAAACTAATAAGCTCTCTTGCATAAGAAATAATTGTGGCTAAAATTAATTTCCAAATAATTGATATTTTAAAGATTCTCTTTTAAACTGACACCTCAGTGCTTTGTTAACTCAGTTTTTGCAGAGCTCAACTTGTGATTCCTTTACTAGGGTTTCTGACTATAGGTCTTTGGGAAGGTAATATTTTCAACGAGTGATTAATTTCCCAAGAAATATTTAATTCTAGGTATCTGAAGACAAATACTTCCTGGTATGTATCTGAATGTATGTGGACCTATTTGAATATAAAATGTCTTATAAATGTTGAATCTTGTTTTACTTTGCTGTTAATTCAAGGATTTAAGTGAATGTTGGATAGTGCTCAATTTCCTGAAATGATTAAATTCACTCTCTGAAGAATCTGGGGAAAAGGCCTGTAATGACATTTTGATGACTTTCATTTTAAGGTGTAATAGAAATTGAGTAAAATGTTTTAATAGCTATTCTTTAATATCTCATTCCAAATACAATGTTTTTATTGCTCATTCTAGCTTGCTAATAATGGTGGCTGGTAATTGTTTCTTATATAGAAATCATTTTATCCTTATGTAAAAGTTATTTCAGAAAAGTCTTCATGCATTTATTTCAGCCTTCACAAAATTGTAGTTAGCTCTAGAGATAACAGTATTTCCAGATTACTTTTGCTTTAATTTGGCATTTCCTAAGGATAATTAGTTGTTTCTTAAAGAAAGGAATATTTGATACAATAGCCTGTGGTTTGAAGAGGAAAGACAAAATAGTATTTGTGTCCGAGAAAGCTGAGAAAAGAGAAAGAAAAAATACTAAGCGCTATCACAAAATGAATTTTACTTTGCTATCAGATGTCATGTGTTCTGTAAAATTTAAAACTGGACTAAGAAATAAAAATACTTATGTAAATATGTAACTGTTAAATCTATTTTATCGAATAGTTAAGTGCCGATATATAAACTTAGGAAGATTACAGCTAATATTACCAGGAATATCTTGGCATCTCAATTCTTTCGGGAGATGTACACACAAGTAAAATTAATCACATAGCTTTTAAAGAATAAAATCCTCTGGGAACTGGAGTTGTGACATATTAGGTCAATTTTCATGTAAGTCAAAATGAAATCCTTACATCAATTTTTCTGTGCAAGTTGCACGAAGCCAAAAGCTTCCAAACTGCGTTGTTCAAAATGCTAATTAGAACACTTTTTATACATTTAATTTGATTAGAGTGAATATTTAAAGTCAGGCTGTAATATTGCTGAATTAACAAGCCAATTATTTTGTAAAACGTAAAATTAAGCTCTCGTATCTAATGATTCTCTTCTGATACACTTGAAAATATCACCAAGTTTGCTTTATTTTTGAAATTAGTATTCTTTTCCCAATACCATTGTTACAGAGCAACTGGTTACTCTTAGTTTCTTTCTGCCTCCTATAATTTTGGGTTTTGTCTTTTAGGTGTGCCATTTGTCTTTCTGGTCACCTAGAAAGTTGTATTGACTTTGAAGCTATTTATCTGACCTATTTGTCTGAGTTTGAGGGAAAAAATAGCCCCAAACTTGCTTCATTAAAAATTGTATATGAAGTGCTGAAAGATTTGAGCTGGCCTTGGGATGCTGTTCAAGGTGTTATTAGAATGTAGATTTTCCCAGTAGTAGCAAGTTCCTTATGTAATTCA